TACTTCGATAATAAATTAATTTTTTTATATACTTTGATAATAAATTAATATTTTTATATACTTCGATAATAAATAAATTTTTTATATACTTCGATAATAAATTAATTTTTTATATACTTCAATATTTATCGGTGATAAATTAATTTTTTTTATATACTGTACTTTAATATTTATCGATCACATAATTGGTCAGTCCATCACATGACTGCCCCCTCGATTGTTGGTTATGCTGGTGCTTTTAAAATTCTACCAGTTCAAAATCCCGACATGATAAAATCCCGACAAAATAAAATCCTGACAAGATAAAAAAAATTCAAAAGACGAAATGACGAAACTGGCGAGAAGTGTAATCTACTTAATTATATGTTTATAATCATAAAATCCAAGTTAAAATCTTTTGTGCAACTATCAATCTTCTATATCAGAATCTGATATAGAAGATTGATAGTTGCACAAAAAAATTTTAACTTGGATTTTATATTATAATTGAGTAGATTACACTTCTCGCCAGTTTCGTCATTTCGTCTTTTGAATTTTTTTTATCTTGTCGGGATTTTATCTTGTCAGGATTTTATCTTGTCGGGATTTTATCGTATCAGGATTTTGAACTAGTAGAATTTTGTCTTAGTCGGCATTTTGATTTGTCGGGATTTTATCTTGGAATTTTTTTTTGTCTTGTCGGGATTTTATCTTGTCGGGATTATATGCGTCGGGATTTTATCTTGTCAGGATTATGTACGTCGAAATTAGGTCTGACGGGATTTGTGGTGTCGGGATTTTGGATGTCAGGATTTTGGATGTCGGGATTTTGTGGTAGATCCTTTTATTTCGATTTTCATTCTTTTTTTTCGTTTATTATTAGTGGAAATTGGGTTACGGCAATCGATGTATATTTTTAGAATACTGTGTTTATTGATTTTTATGCCTTTAAAAGAGTAATAGTTTGTTGAGATTGCAACGATCACTTTTCATTTGGAAGAATCGAAGAAAATAAACCACTTACAAATATTATTACATATTGTGAGGTATGAAACCCGTGATCGGTACGAGCTGCGCCAAGCTCATGATGTTCACAGTTATAACGATCTAATGCCTAAAATAGAGTTGCCGGCGGTATAATGGGGAAATCAGGTATAACGGAGAAAACTGGTAAATTCCCTAAAGACAGTTTATTAGCTTTCATGAGTAGAAGGGTTTTTTATAGTTTAAAGGTTTAATTAGATTTGAGGGTTTTAGTAAAGAAAATATGTAAACGGGATTTATTGATTATAATAAGTCCTAAGTAAAGTTTATTATAAATAAAGGCATTATCGCCCCAAAAAAAATGATGTTTCATTTGCTTCACTAATAACCAAGTCTCAAAGTTATCAAATACATTGCCCACTGTAATCCTGGCTGTGGAAAAAGAGAGAACTAGCATAGTTTCGGTTAGTACCTACAAGTGTGGAAAGCTGAGGTTAAAGAAAAAGAGAGAACTTACCCAAAAAGAAGAGTGCCAACCCCGAGTCAACATAGTACAATTCCGGATTGAGGTATCTGGCATAAGTAGTACGATCGATGCTCTTGTATTCGTGCTCATGGGACTAACGTAAAGTGTATCGTACCCTGTTTGGTTGATTCTCGACATACTGAAGACTACCATTGTTGTTTCTAACTCTCCCAACATACCGTGGACAGTTGAGGTGATTGAATTCCGGTTTGAGGTCCAAGAGGAAGGCCCAACCGTGGTTTTGATTATAGGAATAGTGAGTACAAGAGTTAGTGTGTTAGTAAGCTATATCGAAGAATTGAAGACAAGTGAAAAAAAAAAAAAAAAAAGTACGATATTTACCCCTTGCCAATATGTAACCAACCTCGAAGAAAAGTTGAATCCTGAACGATGAAAATGACTAGACAAAGGCCTCAACGAAAGACTTGGTGTCCCTATTGTAGAAAAGGAAACCATGATGTTAGTAGCTGCCCAAAGATAAGAACGATGCAGCTAGAAAGTTTGGAGTTGTTAAATACACTTACCTAGAAACAAATCGTGGAAGTTCAGGAAATGGTTGATGAAACCATAAGAGACCGTAGTCTTTATGACCCACAAGCCCTAGCATATTTTTTTAAAATATTAACAGATGTTAGCCAAGATAACAACCCCGATGGCGATGACGAAGGAGAAGATAATATTGTGCACCTGCCCTCGTATATCCAATTGAATCCACCTCTAGTACCTTTTGTAGTTCCCGTCCCGAAAGTTCTCCCGAAGTCTCGACAACCAAGACCCACTGTAACTGAAATATTCAACGTCTACTATGACAAATCCGCAGAAGAACCCCTTGAAAGTATTGCCTTCGGCTCTAAAGAAGAAGAACGAGAAACCGAATTGGAAGTTTTTCTTCAAAATCTCGTCGCCGAATATGAAGCTGTCACACAAAAATGGGCTCTTGAAAAAGAAAAAGGCAAAAAAATAGAAGTCGAGAAAAAGAAAGTTAGTGACGTTAAGGTGACAAAGAAAAAAGCTGAAAAAAAAAATAACGACTTACCCAACGATCGCATAAAGGTTGCTAGAATAGGAGGCACCGAAGAAACATACCCAGTTGGACCTTACTGTGAAGAAGTTGGAGTTAAGGAGGTTAAAGAAAAGAAAGAAATCGAAGTCGAAAAGAAAGAGGCTGGAGTTGAAAAGGACGAAGAAAAAAAAGTTGAAGTTAAAAGAGAAGAAAAGGAAGAAACTAAAGAAGAAAAAAGAGAAAAGTATGAGGAAAACGTACTCGCGAGAATCGGAAAAATCGTAGATGAAACCGAAGATGAAGACGACAACAACGAAGCTGACGAAGATGAAGAAGATAACGATGACGACAATGAGACGATTGTAGACGAAGAAGACGATGAAAAGAAAGAAGACATAGAAGAACTTACCAAAAAAAGTAAAGACCTAGATTACGCCTGCAAATCGTGGATAAAGAAAGTTGAAGGATTTAGAAGTAGGGTCGGATGGAGTAGAGGAGCAAAAGAACCTACCGAAAATGAACCTGCCGAGGCTAAAGAAGATACAACGAATATCGGTGAATATTACCGAAACGAAGGTAGAGTTAAAAAGAATGAAAATAAAGCCTTTACCTATCATCAAAGATCTGGCGAGTCAGGTGATGCGGATACAACGTACCTGGTTGGAGATCACTACGAAAATGGAGCCGGAGCTAAAAAAATGAAGTATGAGAATGGCGTTGGAAACGTGCGGAAGACGGCAATTCGAAAGAACAATTCGATCCTGGTGGGTTTGACCGAAGCGGAATAATAGTGGAAAAGGATTTGAAAAAAGCTAATGAAAAGTGGAAGAAAAAAGTTAGAGTATTTTTAGACGAGAACGAGGGTGATTTCGATGAAAATAAGAGGGAAGAATTCGTACCACCTCGAGTCTTGACATTCGACGCTGCCCCTAGTCAAGTCGTAGAAGGTCTGTGGAATTAGGTGAAGAAGAAAAGAAGAGACCCCAGAATGTATACGTTACGGAAGTCTTGATTTGGAAATGCCCTAGAAAGAAAAAAAAGGAAGGCACAAGGCTGATGAGGTTAAGAAACAGCCAATGCATGCCTAGAAACCCAATGAAAGAACTTGCTCTATACTTACCACAGTGGAATGAAACTCGCGTATATGACCCTGGAGCAAAACAACGAATGACCTTTACTGGGCTTACCACTTTATAAAAAAAAAAAAGCAATAGAAAGAGTTACCAAAAAGACGAAAGTGATGAAGCGAAGAAGCCAGGAGCCAAATCATAGATCAAGATTGAAGAGTAGAAAAAGAGATAAAAAGAGCACTAAAATGCGGGGAAAAGAGAGTAAAAATTCACAGATCGGCAACATCTACTCTTATATACCCGAAATAGTTAGAAGTTTAATCATGTTGGATGAAATCGTTAATAACATCACTTGGTCTGAACCTATTGAAATAACCCCGATGCCGCCACCCTACAATGACTCACATGATCTGGCGAACCGTGTATCTTTGACATGTCCACTACTTACTCGATCTATTCGGTTATGGGAAAGAATCAACATCTTGGTATACTCCTACTACTTGGAAACGATTTTTGCAAGAGTGACTCCAGTACAGAAGAGGTTACTTCATGAAATGGTTACACCCTACTATTACACCGTCACTCTTAAGATTTATGATATCTTCGTAGTTGTCAGAATGGACCAAATATATCGCACTACGAGAGTAATCTACCAGGATCTTAGAGTTTTAAGCATTGACGACATAAAGCGAGTTAACATAAGAAGCTCATGAAACTCGCCTTTAAACGGGGCAAAATGTGAGGTACAAAACCCGTGATCGGTACGAGCTACGCCATTCTCATACTTCATTTTTTTAGCTCCGGCTCCATTTTCGTAGTGATCTCCAACCAGGTACGTTGTATCCGC